AATGATAATGCAGTGAGACCGTCAAAGGGAGGGTTCCTGGCTCTGACAGGCAGTTATTTCCCAGGGATGCTTGAGCTCAACTTTTCCCCAAGAAAGCCTGACTTTTGTAAGCATACTCCAAAGACATTTTATAGCTTCCTTGTTACATATTTTACTTAAATATTAAATGTCCTGATGCAGGAAACTTAGATGTCATTAAAAAAAGACCTTTAAGATACTTATAGGTGGCACAGCAGGCACCCAAACTAAAATGTTGTGTTAAAAGAGTGGTGGAAATAGAAACCATATCCCAAAGACACGGAAATTAAATATGAAATGATGTATCCACAGTGTAGCAGAGCGCTGACTCTCAGTGTGGGGGCTTTGGGTTTGATTCTAAGTAGCTGTGACCTCTGTACTTTAATTCTGTACCCGCAAGAGCGTCTGCCCAGCACTTAGTATAGGTTCTAGTGAAACCTTAGTGTAGGTTCTAGTAGGAAGAAGAAACCTAAACACAGCTGTTACTATTTTAAGGAGCGGTTAATATAATATCCCATCTCTTGTAAAGAGATTAGATGGAGCTCTTGCCCATTACAGGACTTTACAAGTTTCTAGCTGTTGTTCTATGTGTGAGGTGTTTTTTTTTTGAGATGATGGAGTTTCGCTCTTGTTACCCAGGCTGGAGTGCAATGGTGCGATCTCGGCTCACCGTAACATCTGCCTCCTGGGTTCAGGCAATTCTCCCGCCTCAGCCTCCCGAGTAGCTGGGATTACAGGCACGCACCACTAAGCCCAGCTAATTTTTTGTATTTTTAGTAGGGACAGGGTTTCACCTTGTTGACCAGGATGGTCTCGATCTCTTGACTTTGTGATCCACCCGCCTCAGCCTCCCAAAGTCCTGGGATTACAGGCGTGAGCCACCGTGCCTGGCTATTTTTTTTTTTTTTTTAATTTTTCCTTTCTGGACAGGATGCCAGAATCTCTTTTCCTTTTTTAAATCTGTACCTGTTGAGAGAAGGATGCTAGAGGTTAAAAGGCTGACACAGTGTACTGTCACATTCCTAAATATTTGTTGAATTAGAGAAAATGATTAAAAGCCCAGGCCTATTGGGAATGCTGGCTCACGCTTGTAATCCCAGAATTTCGGGAGGCCAAGGTGAGAAGACTACTTGAGCCCAGACGATCAAGACCAGCTGGGCAACATAGGAAGACCCCATCTCTACAAAAAATAATTAGCTGAATGTGGTGGCACATGCCTGTGGTCCCAGCTACTTGGGAGGCTGAGGTGGGAGGATTACTTGAGCCCTGGAGTTTGCGGCTGCAGTGAGCCATGATTGTGCCACGCTGTTCTAGAGCCTGGGTGACAGAGTGAAGTGCTGTCTCAAAAAAGCACAGGCCTTGGACTCAGAGTTCCAACGATGGCTCCCCAAGGGAAGAACTGTGTGATCTTGGGTGAGTAGTGAACCATACTCATCCAGTCTTCTGGTTAGAAAGGGTGCTCAGAATGGAGGGGTATGGTCCAGTAGGCAAAAAAGCATCAAGATTAGTGGGTAGGAATAAAAGCAGGTTTCTAAATCCAAAAAGAATTGTAATCAGCTAGGCCTCTGGGAGAAAAGCAAAACAAGGGGTGAAAGCAGAATTGTAGAATGGCTCCTCTGGTCTTTTGGCCACAAAAGTGAGGGGTGCCAGAAACAGTTAAATTGTTCGCCAAAGATGTACTGTGCATGCTCTGCTCGACTGCCCTGGAAACCAGTATGTAGTCCTACTGCCAGTGAAATCTTAACGGGGACACAACCTGTAAAAGAAATGGTAGCACTTAGAGGCACAGGCAGAGTTAGCATGACCAGCTCCACTCAGGGAGGGTCTGGGGATGAGTTCAGGAAGGAGTCTCAGAGAAGGAATGCAGATTATGTAAGAGCCATGCTCTGTGGAAGCCCGTGGAGTTTGTGGTTCATAGATACACATACCTACTTTCTCATTTTTGTGAACAAGTCCACCTGGCAGGAGCCCACTCTCACTCTGGTGCTCTGGGTCAGCTGCAGAGACCTCCAGGCCCCTGGAGTTGAGGCCGGGATCACAGCACTGCACGCCCGCCTGGGCAGCAGAGCGAGACTGCCTCAAAAAAGAAAAAGTCCATGACGGCTGAACTGTTTTCCTAACACCAGGGTATTATTTCCTTTTCTCCTTCTTTCATTCTCTCAGTAGTATATGATGGAATTTTACAGAGGCTACATGACATGCATTGATACTCTGGTAACCAGTAGAATGTGTGTGTGTATTCTTGTGTTCTAAAAATTTCTCACCTTTACTTTATAATGTGGTAAGTATCGATTGCCATAACCAATATCAGCTGAACACCTGAGCATCTTTAATAACATTGGGGAGTGTAAAAGGGTTCTGAAGCCAAAGAATTTGAGAACTGCTTGTCTGTAACTAAAGCTTGCACACTTCTGCCCTAGGGTACACGGTCAGGCCGTCTCTCACTGAGTCCTTGTTACTTACAATCTTTGCTTGGGCCAGGAGCAGTGGCTCACGCCTGTAATCCCAACATGGGAGGCCGAGGCGGGCAGATCACCAGGTGAGGAGTTCGAGATCAGCCTTACCAACATGGCAAAACCCCTGTCTCTACTAAAAAATACAAAAATTAGCTGGGCATTGTGGCGCGTGCCTGTAATCCCAGCTACTCAGGAGGCTGAGACAGGAGAATCTTTTGAACTTGGGAGGCGGAAGTTGCAGTGAGCTGAGATCGAACCACTGCACTCCAGCCTGGGTTAGAGTCTGTTTTTAAAAAAAACTTTGGTCGAAAGGATGTCACTTTTTTTTTTTTTTTGAGACAGTCTCGCTGTGTCACCCAGGCTAGAGTGCAGTGGCACAGTGTCAGCTTACTGCAACCTCCACCTCCTGGGTTTAAGCAATTCTCCACCTCAGCCTCCTGAAGAGCTGGGATTTTAGGTGCCCGCCACCACACCTGGCTAAATTTTGTATTTTTATAGTAGAGACACGGTTTCGCCATCTTGGCTAGGCTGGTCTTGATCTCCAGACCTCATAATCCACCTGCCTCAGCCTCCCAAACTGCTGGGATTATAGGCATGAGCCACCTTGCCCACCCGGGATGTCACATTTTATACTGATACTGCTATACATGTTGTTGCTGTGTGTGCACATGAACAATCCTTATTTCAAACAGGATGGCAAGTTCTAGAAGGTGAGGGTGGCCCTTTGATCTTCTGTATGTTCTTTCCTGGTGAGTGACTCCTGAACTGGTCATATTTGCCTAACTGCACAGTGACGAAAACGGCAGGCCAGGCTAGATCCAGAGACTAGAGGAAACCCAGGTTAGTGTCTTAAAGATCCTAAAGGGGAAAATGGCAATTTTTCTGAAGACTTTTTAATTAGGGAAAAAAGGGAATTGTTATTTATCCCAGATTTTTCTGGTAGTCCCCATGCTGAATTTCTAAATGTGAACAATAAGGTTCAGATAAAAAACGATTATTTCTTCAGCATCTCTACGCAGATTTAAGTGTCCTTCCCCTGAGTCACTCACCTGTGTAACCACCATTCCTTAGGCATCTCCTTGAGCCTGGCAGTGGCTGGGTACATGATGCAGGTGCTAAGGGCTTGGCCTGCGACTTCCATGGATGACGGTGTTCATGCTACTCCTGGGGGATTTAACTCAGTCCCTGTTTTATCAGGAGGAAAAACAAAGGCTTGTCCCAGCCAGCCAGGGGCTTACAACAAGGGAGATGGTCCTGGTGCTCCTGCCCTGTGAGAAAGCAGCTTGTGTGCTGGTGGCTGTGGGGAGCCCCCCATGCTCCTTGGTCCCAGTTCTTGTGGTGTCCTCCTCCCACTGCAGGGAGTCTATGAATGTGAGAGTATGTTGTAAAAATAGAGAGAGACCACTAGTGTCAATAGGATTACCTTTCCTCAATTCATCATGTCCTGGCTTTCCTCTCCTCTCTGGTCACAACATGGAACTGATGTAGCCTTTTAACACTATTTGTTACTGTTAAAGAATGAAAGGCCGGGCGCGGTGGCTCATGCCTGTAATCCCAGCACTTTGGGAGGCCAAGGCGGGTGGATCACGAGGTCAAGAGATCAAGACCATCCTGGTCAACATGGTGAAACCCCGTCTCTACTAAAAATACAAAATTAGCTGGGCGTGGTGGCGCGTGCCTGTAATCCCAGCTACTCAGGAGGCTGAGGCAGGAGAATTGCCTGAACCCAGGAGGCGGAGGTTGCGGTGAGCCGAGATCGCGCCATTGCACTCCAGCCTGGGTCACAAGAGCGAAACTCCGTCTCAAAAAAAAAAAAAAAAAAGAATGAAGTTTGCTCCCTGTTCTTGAAGTAAAACACGAGAACAAAATGCCATGTTTTTGTTTCTAATCTAGACACATTTTTTTTTCCTTGTAAGCCCAGGCAACTTTTTCTCATGGACTTTGAGGATCCTGAAATAACTCAAAGGTATATGCTGCTGAAACTCTTGAGTTCCCAGTAGCTTAAGAACGGCCGTGGCAACTAGAGGAGGAGAGGCAGAGAAAGGGCAGTCTCCAGTTACTTACAGCCATTCCAGCTTTTCACTATTACGGCAAGAAAACATCGTCTCAGTCAGCTAGGGCTATGCTATTATAACAAAATAGCATAAACCCAGTAGTTCAGACAGCGGAAGGCATTAGCTTACCGTTCCGGAGGCCGGAAGTCCAGGGTCAAGGTGGGCAGGATTAGTTCCTCGTGAAGGCTGTGAGGGAGAGTCTTCCTCTCTCCTGGGCTTGTGAATGGCTGGCTCCCTGCCTCTTCACAGGGTCTTCCTCTGTTGTTGGTTTCTGTGTCCAAATTTCCCCTTTTCATCAGGAGACCATTATATTGGATGAAGACCCATTCTAGTGACTTCATTTTCATTTTGTTTGCTCTGTAAAGACTATTTCCAAATAAGGTCATATTCTGAGGTGCTGGTGGCTGGGACTCCAGCATCATCTTTGGAGGGGCACAATTCAACCCATAACAAATGTCATAAAGGAAGAAGGTGTTCTCTGATTCCTTTATTTATTTATGAGGCGGTAGGGGGAGGGGAGGAAAATTCCTATAGGGAAAGAGTTGAGAAGAGTCTGCAGGGAACTGAGCTAGAAAGCAATGACACGTTTCCGTAGTTGGAAAATAACAGGGCACCTCTGTAAGTACCTGGTGTGAGTTTTGTAAGAAAAGCTACCTTATGAATGAGTACAGTGGAATACTACTTAGTACATTCATACATGTTTCTACCATCTCAGGATTTTTATACATACAGTATATGATCTGTTTTTATAAATGTACAGCTTGAAAAAAAGATCCTTTTTATAATAAGTACAGCATTTAAACACAAACCAACATGGGCCAGCCATATTCCAATTGAAGACCCAAAGAAAGCAAAGCCGGCAGCCCAGCCCCCAGCCTCTGACCTGCGCCTGGCGGCCCTGATGGTCCCGGCAAAGTGTAAACTAGTGCCCTCTGTCTCCCTGGGCTCAGCAGGCCTGCTTGCCCTTGGCATGTGCACAGGAAGTGCCTGCTCACGCTAAGCCCAGTCTGCAGAGGTGGGTCCTCCCTGAGGGAAGGTGGCAGAGAGGAATGTGTACGTCAGGTATGGACAAAAGAGGTGAAAGAAATGTGCTCTTCAACTAAAGGCACTTGTTGGCGACCACTTACAGCCATTCCCTGGGCCTGGTGAGGAAGCAGGGTGCTGTTTTGACAGAAGCCTACAAGATGTCAGCAGACCTCACTTGTCCTCTCACCAGGTTTAAATACAATAAATAAATGTTAATGCGGGTGGTTTTGCCTGCCTGGGTTCCTATGAAGGGGCTGCCTTTCAGGATCGTTTGTGGAGTGATACTCCCTGTTCCCAACCCCAGCCTTTTCAGTGTCCTCCATGGGGAAGGTACCAGAAGAGCTCCAGGCCTTGGAGGAGCAATTGCTCACTGTGGATTGGAAGTGCCTCCTCCCCTGGGCTGTGCCTGGAGCTCCTCTGCCCCATGCGTCAGAGTCGTGGGCGCCTCAGATCTTGGTCACATAGTTGTTTGGGAACAGGCCCTGCTTCCCTCGTAGTCGACCCGTCCACCAGCCTGAAGGATCTACAGGGAGAGGTTGAACGCGGAGATGAGTAAGTCTGTTCTACCCAGCCAGACTCTCTGCCTCCGTGGGCTCAAGTGATTTGGTGCCATCCATGGTGTTTTTCCCTTTGTTCTTTAAATCAAAGTTTGCTGTAAAATGTAAGATAGCTACCATATTAATAAAGCACTCAGCCAAGCCCATAGGCTGCTTTGATAATGGATATTCAGGGTTGTCTCTCCGGCTTCTACTCCGTCTGCTTTATGAGGAAGCCTACCAGGTCTAATAAACTAAAGGGTACAGCCCTCCTCTTGCTACTGCAGTTGGTTCAGGACACATGACTAATTTGGTCCAATCAGAATAAAACTCAGGACTTTTGTCCAATGGCAAAGAAAAGTTTCAGAGATGATGCAGATTTCAAATATCATTTCATCTGCAGGCCTGGAATTGCAGCTGCCATTTTGTTACCATGAAGAAAACAGCTTGAGAAGGGAGGGGATATAAAGAAGGGGGCAGAGCTGAAAGAGGCATTAAAAAGAAAGCTGATGTCTTGATCCAATTGAGCCTGTAGCCTGACCTGCCTCTACAAGTTTCAGTTAGAGGAGCCCATACATTCTCCTCATGTTCACACAGGTTCTTACAGTGCTGTGACTGTTCTTTGGGAGGCTGTCCCCACCAGTCAGCCACACACTTACCTTCTCTGATGACATCAATAATGTCACTGGCATTAAAGCTGAGTTCGTCCGTGTCCTGAGCGTCATAGGCATACAGAGCCTTGCACTGTGGCACCTGGGGCTTGGGCTTGGGCTGCGGCTTGGGTCTGCCCCCTGCTGGGGGAGGCCGACTGCTGGTTTGTCTCCGGACCCTGTGGGGAGAACAGGGCACATGAGACTGGGTCCCAAGAGGAGGCAGCAGCACTGAGGGCTGCTTGGAGCATGCTGGCTGTCACTGGCCTTTTCAAGTTCAAATCCAGCTCCACCCTTAGAAGACACATGGCCCAGGGTGCAGTCTTTTAAACCTGCGGAATAAGGGTGACTTTCCTGACAAGGTTGTTGCAACCCCAAATTGCTCCTACAAACCTTTGCTGCTGCTGCTGCTGCTGTGTTCCCAGCATAGAAAGAAAAGTGGAAGATACCCAAATAAAATCAAAGTATACCCATCTATTAAATCATGAACACTCAGGTATCCGTCCCTCCCTCAAGTTTGGAAATGGAACTTTGCCAGTGCCACAGAAGCCTGTAGGCATCTCTCCTTCACTGCATTCCCCCCAGAATTACCACCTTGGAGTTTGTATTAACCATTCTATGGATCATCATCTCTACTCCCATCCCATCCACCCACCCCCTCATCATCACTCCAGAGACTTCCCTCCCACCCACTCATTACTCCAGAGACTTCCCTCCCACCCACTCATCATTACTCCAGACTTCCCTCCCACCCACTCATTACTCCAGAGACTTCCCTCCCACCCTCACATCATTACTGCAGAGACTTCCCTCCCACCCCCTCATTACTCCAGAGACTTCCCTCCCACCCTCTCATTACTCCAGACTTCCCTCCCACCCCTCATTATTACTCCGGACTTCCCTCCCACCCACTTATCATTACTCCAGAGACTTCTCTCCCACCCCAATCATCATTCCTCCAGACTTCCCTCCCACCCACTCATCATTACTCCAGACTTCCCTCCCACCCACTCATCATTACTCCAGACTTCCCTCCCACCCACTCATCATTACTCCAGAGACTTCCCTCCCACCCACTCATTACTCCAGAGACTTCCCTCCCACCCCCTCATCATTACTCCAGAGACTTCCCTCCCACCCACTGATCATTACTCCAGAGACTTCCCTCCCACCCCCTCATCATTAGAGACTTCCCTCCCACCCCCTCATCATTACTCCAGAGACTTCCCTCCCACCCCCTCATCATTAATCCAGAGACTTCCCTCCCACCCCCTCATCATTACTCCAGAGACTTCCCTCCCACCCCGTCATCATTACTGCAGAGACTTCCCTCCCACCCCTCATTACTCCAGACTTCCCTCCCACCCACTCATTACTCCAGACTTCCCTCCCACCCTCTCATCATTACTCCAGACTTCCCTCCCACCCTCTCATCATTACTCGAGACTTCCCTCCCACCCTCTCATCATTACTGCAGACTTCCCTCCCACCCCCTCATCATTACTCCAGAGACTTCCCTCCCACCCACTCATCATTACTCCAGACTTCCCTCCCACCCACTCATTACTCCAGAGACTTCCCTCCCACCCTCTCATCATTACTGCAGACTTCCCACCCACTCATCATTACTCCAGAGACTTCCCTCCCACCCCCTCATTACTCCAGACTTCCCTCCCACCCCTCATCATTACTCCAGACTTCCCTCCCACCCACTCATCATTACTCCAGACTTCCCTCCCACCCACTCATCACTGCAGACTTCCCTCCCACCCCCTCATCATTCCAGAGACTTCCCTCCCACCCCCTCATCATTACTCCAGAGACTTCCCTCCCACCCACTCATCATTACTCCAGACTTCCCTCCCACCCCCTCATCATTACTCCAGAGACTTCCCTCCCACCCCCTCGTCATTACTCCAGAGACTTCCCTCCCACCCACTCATCATTACTCCAGACTTCCCTCCCACCCCCTCATCATTACTCCAGACTTCCTTCCCACCCCCTCATCATTACTCCAGAGACTTCCTTCCCACCCCCTCATCATTACTGCAGAGACTTCCCTCCCACCCCCTCATCATTACTGCAGAGACTTCCCTCCCACCCCCTCATCATTACTCCAGAGACTTCCCTCCCACCCCCTCATCATTACTCTAGAGACTTCCCTCCCACCCCCTCATCATTACTCCAGAGACTTCCCTCCCACCCCCTCATCATTACTCCAGAGACTTCCTTCCCACCCCCTCATCACTGCAGAGACTTCCCTCCCACCCCCTCATCATTACTGCAGAGACTTCCCTCCCACCCCCTCATCATTACTCCAGAGACTTAGCTCTCATCTCATCTCATCAGTGTTACTCTTCAAATCTCCCTTCCATTCTTTCATTGTTACCCCTCAGAGCTCCCCTCTGCCCCTCCAGAAATGTTGCTGTGAATATTCCTGTTTCTCAGCACCTGCACTCCTGACACCTGGGGCTGGATAACCTTTATAGTGTGTGGGGGCAGGTGAGGGAGGCTGTCCTGTGCCCTGCAGGATCCCTGGCCTCTAACCACTGGATACAAGTGACACTCCCTCCACTCCACTGTCGTGATGATTAAAAGTATCTCCAGTGCTCAAACCCTAACCCAGATCTTCCAGCTTTAAATGTACTATTTCTATATACTGTGCTGGCTGCCTCAAGTCACCATTCATTCGTTGTTTCAAAGGCATGGAAGTTCTGCTTGTTCCTGCTTAGTGAGATCTTTAAACTTATACCTGAATCAATTATTTAATAAATATGTTAATTAAAAGCATCTAGCAAAAACAAAAAGGAAAACAGAAACATGGAGAACATTTCTTTTTTTTCCACTTTGCTTAAGGACAAACCAAAGTAAAGGCTATGTCCATTTGCTTACGAAAGAAACTTAAGATTTCTCCTTAAAGAAGTTGGGCTGGACCTCAACATGGCAGGACTGGCTGTTAGGTCTGGGCACATCATTCACACCCACAGGAGCAAAGAGGAAAAGGGGGGCTTTCCTGGGACCTGAGTTCTGGAAAGAACCACGACATCCAGTTTTGAGCTGCACCCTGAGGAGGCCCCAGCCTGCTGGCCTTGCCCATGTCCTGTGATGATAGATGCTCGTGGGGTGCTGATGAACAAGCTGGATCATGAAGGGGAACACTGGCTGCCAGCAGGGTAGCAGGCTGTCCCCAGGAGGGGCTGGGCTCCCATGAGACTGGGCTTTTCCTTCACCCCACACGGGAGGGAGTAATCCTCAAGGCTACTCAGGCTCCCTCCTCTCACCACCCCTGCCACTTTTCTCTTAGTGTAGAGGAAAGGCGTTTTGTGGGTTGTCAGTGTGACATCATTCACTTCCTACCTCACGTCTACTGGAAGTCCCTATTCCCTGTTCCAGAAGTGCTTGCTTCTCTGAAAGCTGGCCAGGCAAACAGGTTTTAATTAAGCACCCTATATACTGGGGATGTGTCAGCATTTGGTTGATAAGAGCCATTAGCCTGGATACCAGAAGTCAACGTGACTTCTCAGCAACAAGGAATAAAGCCGGTGGTGGGCGGGGGGGGGGGCCAGGCATTACAACACCCTGGGAGGGAGGAAGCCTCCAGCCTGACAGTCCACAGAACTGGGCTGGGAGTGCACGTGCAGGGACACAGAGGCACATGTGTGCATGCACACACACCAAAAACTCGTCCCTGTGTCCCTGGGGGGCTGGTGCTAGGACTACTCACAGATAACTCCACAGACACGTCCCTCATATCAGAGGGTGTAACAATTTCACGTAACCTACGTACGGCCTCTTGTATATGTTAAAACTCCTCTAGATTACTTGTAATACCTAATGCAAATAGTATGTAAACAGTTGTTATACTATATTGTTTAGGGAATAACAACAACAACAAAAAGGCTTTTTAAAAAATAAAGGACTGGCCAGGCATGGTGCCTAACACATGTAATCCCAGCACTTTGGGAGGCCAAGGCTGGTGTATCACCTGAAGTCAGGTGTTCGAGACCATCCTGGTCAACATGACAAAACCCCTGTCTCTACTAAAAAGAGAGAAATTAGTTCGGCATGGTGTAATTTATCATAATAAATTGCAGATTACACCTGTAATCCCAGCTACTCAGGAGGCTGAGGCAGGAGAATTGCTTGAACCCAGGAGGCAGAGGTTGTAGTGAGCCGAGATCGTGCCACTGCACTCCAGCCTGGGCCACAGAGTGAGACTCTGTCTCAAAAAAAAAAAATTTTTTTAAAGTCTGTACATGTTCAGCCGGCCGCGGTGGCTCAAGCCTGTAATCCCAGCACTTTGGGAGGCCGAGGCGGGTGGATCACAAGGTCAGGAGATCAAGACCATCCTGGTCAGCATGGTGAAACCCCGTCTCTACTAAAAAATACACAAAAAATTAGCTGGGCATGGTGGCGCGTGCCTGTGATCCCAGCTACTCAGGAGGCTGAAGCAGGAGAATTGCCTGATCCCAGGAGGCGGAGGTTGCAGTGAGCCGAGATCGCGCCATTGCACTCCAGCCTGGGTAACAAGCGCGAAACTCCGTCTCAAAAAAAAAAAAGTCTGTACATGTTCACTACAGAGGCAACTATCCATATTTTTTTTTCAGTCCAGGTTTGGTTGAATCCACAGACGTGGAACCCGTGGGCACAGCAGGCCAACTATATCCATAGATGGAAATCTGTCCAGTCTTGTCCGGTGGGAAAACCCCACTGTCCTTAGTACAGACTGATGAGGTCTCTGTAGACCAACTATTGGGGCCTAGATACAGGGTCCTCCTGCTGAAGGACTCCCTTTGCCAGGGCTGGGGTAAGACCCCTTAGTGGGAAGATAAGGTGGATGGCTCCTGAGAGGGAAGACCCTCCCTGCCTTGGGCATCACACACCTTTTCTGCCCCACGTGCCTCCAGCTTTGACTAAGCCCTGTTCTTTCCTTCATGTCGTCTTTGCCAGTTGCTTCCTTTCTAGAACACTTGGCCCTCATGCCAGCTTAGCTGTTATCAGTTCACCCCCTCCCACCTGAAAATCCTTCCAACAGCTTCTCTCTGCTCTTGGAAAAAGGACCAAAACCCTTCATGGCGCCTACAGTCTGCCACGTGCGGCTCCGCTCATACCCTGACCTTACTCTCTGCTGCAGGCCACAGCGATGCCCTCCTGCCTTTCTCCATGAGCCCTGGTTGGG